TACTTAATATCTCTGACCCACAGTTTTCTGTTTTATAAAATGGGATAATGTTGTCTACCTTCCCAAGTGTTGTGAGGAATAAAATGAGAGACACATCATGTGCCTAGCACAGGCCTGACACAGAATTGCTTGATACAGGTTTGCTATTATGTTGTGTTATCAGAGGGAAAAATACGGACAGTGTAGAGAACCAGTAGTAGTTCAGCCTGATTTATTTCTTTACCAGGGAGGACAGTTAACACTCACTGGAGCTTAGGAATATGAGGACAAAGAGCCTTTCATATGCTTGTCATTAAGATAGCACAGTGGACAACATTATTTATTTTATTTATTAAATTTATAACCTGGTGCCGCTCTTGATGGACTTGCCTCAGGGCATGGCTGAAAAATAAAATCTCTCTATTTGAAATGCATTCAGCGCCGTGGCAGTAGCAATGGGAAATTGTTACTTTTTCAGCTCTGAGGTGCCATTTAAAATGCGTTCTTGATATGCCTTGCATACTTGCCAATTGGAGTTTTGTTGCATCCTGATGACTTGGTTATTCCACTGGCTAGGGCCACCCAGGGGGAAATTTCTTACTCCTGAGGTCTGTAGGCAGAAAACTCAATTATCTTCAGTGGCCCCAATCATGCATAGACATCAAGAATCACTTAGGTATACTTGAAGCAGAGATTGGAAATAAGTAAGTTAAGTGAGCTTTTCTATGTTCATTTCCAGTGTTTTACTGAACAGTTGGAAAGTTAGGGGTTGTTTTGCTAAAAGGGTATAAGTAATGCCATGTGACACTCTCTATGTAAAACAGTCCTAGCCATGACATTATTGTTAAAGGAGGAATAAAAAATTCAGAGCTCAAAATGTGAGCTCAGAGAAGCTGAATTATTAATACGTGTTCCATGTCTCTGTGTGATTTTCATAGTATATTTCAAAAGTGTATAGAGATGTTTCTTATAAAAGACATCTTTTTTGCTTATCTGATCACATCAAAATTCTCTCTCTGTAAATCATTTCCCTTCAACACTTATTCATTACCCTTATTTCTTTCATATCTCTGATTTCTTTGCAATTATTATTATGTCTTAACCAAAGAGTACCTTTACAAATTAAGTGAAGGATGTATATACTGCGTTTTACGAATCTCCATTGATTGACCTGAGTCAGCATTGTGGCTGACACTTGGTTCCTATCCCCATTTTTCCTTTCTTCCTCTCTCTTATACAGCCAAGATAATCTCTTTCCAGCTTCTCTTTAAGCTAGAGGTTGGTTCTAGTCAATGAGATATAAACAAAATTCTACATAGCTTCTGGTAAAGACTCTTGTTTCCTGATAAATGAGATAAGACACCTGATAGTTGCTTGCTGGTACTGCCACTTCCTGCTTCTTCCTTTCTTGAACAAGGAGTTGATGTTTGATCTACAGCAGCTCTCTTATCACAATGAGGTAACAAGAAGATTCATTATGGAAAGGAGGCAGTATAGGAGCCTGCGTATTTGATGTTATCATTATGTTGCTACATTAGTCCAGAGACACCTACCTCCACACTTGTTATTGAATACGAATAATTGTCTTTATGGTTTAAGTCTCTTTTGTAGTTGAGTTTCCTGTTACTTTTAGCCCAAAGCATCTTGAATGAATATAAATAGTGAATTCATCAAATAACATATCTGAGCTTACAGTACTTCTGTGTATTTTTTATCATGAGAACCACAAGGTAGAAATATATATATATATATATATATATATATATATATATATATATATGAATGCTTGTGAGACGCATGCTATCCCTTTGGGCAGAATCTTATACTGTGTAACTTCAGCTTTGTTGAGGAACTGGACAAAGTAAGTAAAAACGTAAAGGTTAATATAAATTACCTTAGAAGTTTATAAATAAATTGCATATATGAGGAAGAGGACGCGACGGGAGTACAGCCCAGTGACCTTCCTTCTAGAGAGCTTAGTTGTCTTCTGTGGCATTCATGATATTGGTATATTGTTTTAATGCTTACTGCCACTCACACAGCTCATAAGAAGCATGCTCCAATGATATAGCATTTGTTCCAAGGCGGTGGAGATGCAGTGAAGATGACTATTCCTGGCTCAAAAATTGACTTGCAACATGGCCTCAGGCAAGGCATTCAATCTCCCTGTCTCAGTTTTCCCCATCTGTGAGGACAGAATGATAATTCTTGCACAAAATTTTCCTTCAGAGGGCTATTGAAAGGATTATTAAAAGAACATTTTCAGTCCATTGAAGAAAAAATGCTTTATAAAAGTAGAAAAATTCAGTTATTTTTCCCAGGAATGGAGAAAAGGAGACATATTTCATGGCTGCCTACGGCCTGTAATGGCATCTAAGAAAAGAGCACTCTGGGAATGGAGTCAGTTACAGGCCTCCTCTAGGCTCATTCTTTTCTCTACAGTGTAGAAAAGCAGAGCACACCATGCCTCGCTCCCAATGCTGCACTGAGGGGACAAGGTGAGACAGAGTTGCCCTCTTAAGCTCTTCCATGAACATGGGGGAAAGAGAATCTATTAAGATGTTGGCATGCATGAAAGAATGAGATGACCTCATTATTTAAAATGAATGCATCCCTCCCCTTTAAAATTGTTAAGTACCTAGTTGAACAAAGTTCTGTAATAAGTATTTCACTAGGAGAGCTATGTAGTGCTGCCTGTGGGCGTATAGTTCAGGCCTTCATTAATTATTACCTGAAATAGGATTCTATCGCCGTCTCTACATCTCATCACTCCCAATTACCATATTACCTTCACATTGCTACTAGGTTCCTCTTTTTAAGGCAAACTTTTTAAAATCATATTATTTCCTTGTTCAAATACTTTAATGCTTAACCATTGCTTACAATTTAAGGACAAAATCTTACCTAAGCATTCCAGACCCTCTACATTATGATCTACACCTACTACTCCCTGTAAATAAATTTCCCTCTGCCTGAATTGTTGATCATTGTCCTTTCTTTTATACCTATTCTTCCCAAAACTCCTCCATTTTCTTTTTTCTTTCTTTCTTTTTTTTTTTTGTTCAGTTTAAAGGGACCCTATACATATATCAAGGCTTGTGCCAAATACCATCTTGTAGAAGTTGTTCCTGGTCCCCTTAGTATATGAAATTTCCTTAGGGTTTTATTTTTCTCACATAGCACTTGTACTCTTTTATCTTATATTTAGTCATTTGGGTGTTATTTTACCCTTCTAGAATGTACCCTCCTGGAAGGAAGAGGCTGTGTCTACTACAGCACCTGACATGAGGTACATTGGTCATCCTGGGTGCTCAATTAAGAAAAATAAAAAGTGTTAGGTTACATTACACTGTAAAGCCACTAATGGGTACTACAATAGCAGAAATGAAAAATGGAAGTAAAACATGATCGGACAATAATGTATTTTATTTGCATTCTGATCAATTCACAGCTGGCCATGGTAGGGCCCTGGGGGTGGGAAGAGGGGGTACTTAAGGAAGAGGGAAACTTATGTCCATATGTCTGTGTGAGCTCAATGTCACATACTCACCTAAAGCCTCATAGTTATGACTTGAAATCTGTTCACAGTTGAGTAGATATTGAATGTAATTGATCAACATTAAAAGTGAGAGGAGAGGGAAGGAAGACAATTCTAGAAAATATTGCTGCTATAAGTAGATACAACAGCCTAGATTTTAATTTTATGACCATAAAGCTCAGAACATTTTGGCAAATGAAAATATTTAATAGATGAAATAAAACAATTATTCAGAATCAAATAATAATACCCTCTAACACCCACTGAATTTTTCCACTGTGCCATGCCCTAAGTGAATGTCATACATTCTAGTTCTTACTCCTCCCAACATCCCTTTGAAGTAGGTGTTATTTCTCTCCATTTTACTGACAGGGAAGTTGAGGTCAGAAAACTTGCCCCAGGTCACCCTGCTGGGTAAGTAGCAGAGTAAGTAACCAGAACCTGGGTAAGTCTCGCTCCAAATCTCACGCCCTTCCTATTTTATCTTATTCTCCCAAACAATCTAAGCTTTTCTGCAAGCTTTCCACAGTTGGACAGTTTTAGAAATTTCCAGATTGAAAATATGAGAGGCGTGCTCAGGCATCTGCCTGGTTAGGACAAGAGAATGACTCATTCCAGTTCAGGATGAAGCTCATATTCTCTATGCACCATGAGCAGACCAACATATGTGTCTGTTGTACGTTTATTAAGCCCCGCCGCTTTCTTCTCGCCAGCGTAGATCTCGCAGGTGTCCACCGTAAACATGAACAATTTAGGACTAGAAGGCTGGAGTTCACGGCTTAAATTCAGGCAGGAGGAGATAATTTTGAGTTCTTTGTTGGCCAGGTGCGTATAATAGATGAATAAGCCGGAGAAGGGAAAGTTCAATGTCATTGTGGGTGTGATAGATTTTAAAACGCGTGACCTCATCTGTCCGTTTTGGGGATGCAAAATGTGTTCAAGGACTTCTCTGTAAAGCCTAGAAGTAGAAACCTCCTACAGAAACACAACTATGTTTTTAAAAAGTGACTGGAAAAGTAGAGATACTTAAGGGGAAAAAAAGCACTTCAGCCAGGATGACATCATTATAAAATCAGTGAAAGTAATTTGTTTTATAGAATCAGAACAAATCCCTCAAATTGACTTCTAGTTTCTTTTTTAAAAGAGATAAATTGGGGGCTGGGAGCTGCTATGCTAATAATATTCAGCCAGATAAGTGTGTTTGCTTCGTGACAGACCCCTTGAAATGGGGTTTGTTAAAATGAATGCATTGCATTCACAGGAACAGCAGCGCGGCTGGGTCCTGCTGGCAATAAATCGAGCAATTCGATTTTGACTTGGATGTTTATCATCTCTCCACTTCTGTGCGCTGCGATGCGAAGGGGGGAGGGGAGGAGGCTGTAGTTCGGCCTGTGGGCTGCTGGTGTCATCCCATTACCGCACAACCGAGATGGAGCGCTGCGCGCTTCTATTCAAGCATTTAATACATTAGTCTGTAATTTTTGTCTTGGAGGTAATGAGGCCTGACGGCTTTGGCTGGTGCACGATCACAATCTCACCCTGGTATCTTTGAAATTCTTTGTTGCCATATTCATAAAGGAAGAAATGACTTTTGCAAAATGACAGTAAACATGCTTCATTTTATAAGACATTGTGGTTAACAACCTGAAACAATGAAGCGTTTTTTGAGCTATAGCTAAACTAATTTGAGCTATGTTAAAAGTGCTGATGTATATGGTAAGCCAGTGTTTTGTTTTTGTTGCTTGTTTGTTTATTTTTGTTGACTTTTGTTGCTGAGGGGGGAATAATCTCAGGAAAACACATATGGCCTAATTTTCAGAGATTGATAATAGTAATAATGATAATGATAATTATTTCATCCAACGTTTTGCCCCCATAGAGCCTCATCTTGAAAAATAAAAAGACATGGAGCAGGCTGGCTCTTTGAAAGGCTGGGATTACTGCACTGCGTTGTCACTTCAGTACATGGATCAGCTGCCCTGGGAGACGGAAGACAACTGCTGCTGAACACCTCGCTGGAGTGAGTATCCCAGGCTTTCAGTGACAATGAAGTGCAAAAGGGCTTTCATACAACTGGGAAACCTTTGGAAAAAGTTGCTTTTAACACCATGCTGACAATTAACTGGTTCTTAAGCATAACTAATGAAAGAAGCCCACTGTAGGAATTATTTTTAGCTAAAACTAGCTGACAGTTCAGGGCTCACTGGGACTTGCTGGCATTTGCAGTGTGGACTAATGCCAGATTCAGTGAAAAGTGCATTTGCTAGGTAAACTCCCTTTAAGTATCTTGTACTCTGTCAACCGGGGCATTACAGAAAGGAGCCCACTGTTCAGACACAAAGTTGCTCTTTTGGAAAGCTGTTCAATCACTAAGGCAAAGTTCTAAAAATGAACACCAGAATAGAAATAATGAATAGAAGCAGGTCTGCCAGGAATGATGTTACCAGTTAAAATAATAAAAGTGTTCCCTCTATTTAGAATAAAGCCAGGCTATAGAGATGTGAGAAATTTCGAGATGAGGCACAAGGACGTACTGCTTTGAGTATCTATATTTATAGGTAAAAAACTGATCCACTGTGTTTTACTTTGTAGTCATTATATAAATTAATCCTTGCTGATAATTATTGTGAAGGGAGGATAATAACTTTAAAATTTTAAATTGACTTGAACACTGGTTAAATACAGAAATCCACACCTGAAACAAACAAGCAAAATCTAGATAGAAACTGACTATAAAAAGCAAAACAAAACAAAACAAAAACGAACAGGAATCCTAGGATTATAACTGGTTTTTAAAAGATACTTAATCATATCTCTGAAAGTTTATAGGCTAGATTATTTATAGTACATAATAGGGATCTTTTGAAGAAAAAAAAAGAGGATCAAACTGGTCAGGTAAGCAAAAGATCATGTAACAAGTGGGTTCATTTTTCTAATAGAAAATCTATTTTAAAAAGGTGGCTTTCTACTTATTCAAATTTCTCTTGCAGACAATACATGACAGTTTACTATTGTAAATTGTATCTTTTCAGAGCTGTAATGGTTTAGAGATAGCACCTGATGTACCAGACCAGGAAATGTCCTAAAATGTTTCTAGGACACATGAAAATGTTCACATTAAATGAGTGAGAGTTTACGGTCAAGAAGGATTATTACATGTAGTCATTGGTCAACTCTTTGATGGTGTGCTCTGTGTAAATTCTTAGCCTTCAAGAATACAGATTCAAAATCATCATATCACATACTCTGAGATTTTAGGCAAACTTTTTTTTTACTTCATTTTCCTTCTGTTAAATGAGGACAAGTGTTCTTAAATAACACCCGTACCCCCGTAATGTTCACTATCGCATACAGAGTTCAC